GTTTTTGACTAGTTTTCCATAGATTTTGGATGAAAAAAATATTTTTTAAGCAGTGATTTTTCGCAAAGAGGCACAACATGTACTTCAGTAAGAAGCACAACTATGCTTTCTAAAAAAGGAAGAAACAAAATACAACTTGTGCTTCCATGAGAAGCATAAATGTGCTTCTCGTGGAGGCACAGATTTGCTTCCGCGAGAAGCATAGTATGTGCTTTCACAAGAAGCGCATATTTACTTCTCATGAAAGCACAGATTTACTTCTTGTAGGAGCACATATGCTTCTCGAAAAGGAAACAATCATGGTTGTGTTTTCGTGAAAAAGGGGGAAATGATACCTTATGCATCAGCGAGAAGCATAGATTTGCTTTCATGAGAAGCACAACTATTGCTTCCCCAAAAATGTGAAAATTGCAACCGTGCTTCTGGGCTCCGTGTTTTTTCGGTTTTCGTTTTTCTTCTTCGGATTCCTTTTATTTTTATTCAGTGACCGCTTTTTCATTTTCCATTTATCTTTTGAGAAAAAGTTCATCAAAACCTATTAACATAGGATCTAGTTCCCAAGATTTCAAAGAGAAATCCAATAGTACAAACGGTTATGTATTTGCACTCACAGTTCAGGAGATCAAACGTTTATGTAAACAAATCTACAGAACAAAAAAAGGAAACTCCCATGTTGCGACAAGTGGCACACATGCAATGCGCCAGTTGTCAGCACCTAAGAAGGTGGGGAGTGACCTTTATAAAGGGTACCCCTTAACATGTGATTTCGCTATATCTTGCTTGTATCGAGAAAACCGTTGGTCTCACCTCTGGTGTGAGGCTAGCTGGCCCACCCAATACAGTAGCTCCCAGAAACAGTTTTGGGAAGGTTCAATGGCCCAGCTCAGTATGACTATAGAAGCTTTTATGTGTGTTTTCTCTTTTCTCTTCATGCTTTTTGTGTTGGGTTTTTTTTCCCTTTTTTCAATGCTTGTGTACTTTTTCAATACACATTGTACAATTTTCATATACATGTCGAACATTTTTTGATACTCGTGGATCTTTTTTCAAATATGGGATGAACAGTTTTTTAATACATGTTTTGAACATTTTTCCGAATACATGTAAACTTTTTTCAAATACATTTGGAAAGAAAAAAATGTGGTACAAAAAGATTTCCTGAATAATGCGAACATATTTTACATTGTATTAAAAAAATGAAATGCATGTTTGAAATGGTTTCGAACACGTATTAAACTTTTTTCAAATACATGTTGCACATTATTTGAATGATTTGAAACATTTCTTAAACTACACGTACACTTTCTATTAATGAATTTTTTTACATTGCATGAACATATTTCTTGAAAAACCTGAAAATTTGTTTAAACTGTTACAGAACGGTTATCTGAATGGTACATTCTTTTATTTAAGTCGCATTAACGTCTTTAAAAATTGTATAAACACACTTTTTGAATTCAAACATTTTCTGTAAACGACGGAACATTTTTGAAATATCACAAACGTTTTTATGAATGCTATCAATAATTTCAAAAGGTTGCCGGTCTTTTTTTACAGTGCATGAACATATTTTAAATGTTCGTTGAAGAATTTCGAAAATTGATTAAATTAATTTTTGATATATATGTTTTTAGAATGTTTAAAACTATAAACAAAATAAAAAGGTGAAAAAATGAACTAAACTATAAGAATTTGACTGTGTCGCTTGTGCGCTGGAAGTACGCAGGTCTCCCGCTGTTGAACAGGCCCAATACCCGAGTGCTGCGAGCAACGCGTTGTTGGTACTTGCTAGAAGCGATACATATCCGCTCCCCGGAATGCCCACTAAAATAACGTCCCCCCAAGACTGTCTCAAAAAATAAATTCCACTAAAAAAATAAAGAGACTGAATTCTACTCGTTTACTAGGAAAGAAGAAAGGTTCTGCTACTTTTTTGTCGCCGCTTTGTCAGTACTCAGTACCACAACACCGAGCTCTAACTATACTAGAAAAAAGAGAAAGATACCTCTAGCAATATTATGAATTTCACACATGCCGAAAGATGCAGGCTACCTAGATAACTTCCCCATTGCTGCTTCTACAATGTCCGAGGTTTAAAAAGGTTGCTATGCAGAGACGGAATCTCAGAGACATTGTCGAGCTATGCTCACAGCACCGGCAGTGAATACAGGAAATAAAACTTCAGCAGCCCCAAGTATTTGAATGTAATTTTATTTTATTTTTGTATGAATGTATTTGTAAGGACCCATGATACGCAATATATGGCCTTGCACCTTTCACACAAAAGAATATTGAAGGATGTTTTGCAATTCATGCAACAACTGTCGGATCTAACTCCGACTCCCCAGACACTTATGTGAAGAACTCTGAAGAAGAAAAGAATAGAAGAGTTACAGCTGGGGTGGGGCTTTTGCTAACCTGCCTAAACCTACGGGGAAAGCTGACTTGGCATGATTTGATTGGAAAAGAAAGAACGGCCCAGGCCCCACCCCACGAAATTCCGGGGAGAGAGAATTGGATTAGGAACTTTAAGTAAAGCTGCGTACTGGTCTAAATCCGACTCCCCAGATTCTTATGTGAAGAAGTCTGAAGAAGAAAATAATATAAGAATTACAGATGGGGTGTTTCCCTCAGATTCTGTGTAAAGGCTGAAAGTTCGTCTGCGAACTGACCTCTCCGCTGTACCATAGTACAAAAACCTGGTACTGGTGGCAACTTGGCAAAATGGCATAGGGAAAATCACTCAATTCTAAATCCCAGTAAGGAAATAGGTGGAACATGTATCACATCTCACGTTCTGAAGCTGGACGGAACTGCCCAGTCGCGCACCATGTCGAGCATCGATTTCCCAACCCCAATTAATCGCCGAAATCTCAAAACCAAACCTAGGATCCGACGAGCGAATTGGAACTGCGACAGCAAAGCACATTCGTGAGGCAATGCCGCCAGTGAGCTAACTCATACAGCCTTACTCCAACTTCTGCGTTAAATTTGCTATGCTGATACATAATATTTGAACAGCGAGTTTTAAGCAAGGACACCTCACAGTTCTGGCAACTATGATTCACAAAGTATAAAGTAGATATAGGGTCCTATAGTATGCCCTCATGGATCGCCTTCCTCCTCGCAGTCCAGATCTCGTACGATATGCCCAAAATGGTGACAAAATTCAGTAAGATAATCAGATGAAACCTTGGGAGAAAACAGGGTCCAGACGAGATGATTGCACATGCCGCAACTGAAGAAAACAAATTAAAGTGTCACACCCCAGAATTTACGTACAATCTCACAACCTCCCGGTATGAATCCTCTCTCTGTCTGTCACAGAAATCCTGACCATATGAACTAAAAAAATCCTGACCATAAGTGGGGCGAAAAAGTGAAATGACTCTTAGCCAGTGTTGCAAACTCCAACACAACTCGGGTAGAGTAAACTAAGTTTGCTCTGTATGGAAATCCTAACCATGAGTGAAGCAACTTACTAGCTTGCTCTGTCACCAGAACCCAGGAACAGAGCAACACAAATGCGGAGTCGAGGGTCCGTTGGAAGGACCAAAAAACAGAACCTCCAGATTTGCACTACATCGATAAGAAATGTAACCATTAAACTGAAGGAAGTATGCCAAGGAATTCTCTCTTCCAAAGAATTAAGCATCTTGTAACTTAGCATGCAGGCTCAAGTCCAGTGCATTTACAGAAAAATTCTCCACTAAGAGCACAACTAGTCTAGCTTTCTTTTTCGTCATGAATCCTGAAGGTAGGCTGCAGAAAAGATCACAAGAGGAGCCACTAATCTGCTACCTATTCCACAGCTTATCAAGTCGAAACAGTGTCTCTATAAGTTGTTTGATTAAACAATGCAGACTTGTACTTGGTAAGGAACGGCAAAGAACAGTAAAGCTGGCTGGACAAGCAGGTTTTAGAGCCAGCACATGTTTTGTACAAAAATCTCAAAAAATTCTGAAAGTGGAAACAGATTTTTCAAGCTTTTACCAGCCTCCAAATAAAGAAAAAAACATCTGGTAACAAAAATGAAACTAAATATTCAGGTTGGAACAACGATGCAAACAATTAAGATATTGGAATTTAACAAACATATTAGGAATCTTGTGTATAATTATCATCTCCCATAATATAAAAATTCAGCACCGATCAATCATTTTCCTAAATAACTTGCAATAATACTGCTATTTGCTGAAGTTTTATATCATTTCACGATGGATGTGGTCATGGAAGATAGTTACTCACTGCTTTGGGAAATGAAATGGGCACATAAAAGGAAAAACATAAACAGTAATTGTACACTAGTCAACAGAGCAAAACATATCAGAGAATGTTACGGTCTTACGGATATAGAACAGGTTCATATAACAGAGCAGAACATATCACAAACATTTTGTGAAACTTACGTTTCTCCAAAAGACAAACTAATCTCAGGTTGCTAAGGTTTCAACTTAAGTAACTACGCTCATGTTAATCCACGATCAGCATACTAAATTCTGCGACTCTTAGCTGCTTTCTCCCATATATCCGCAATGATACTAGGGCATTCCCGTTTCAGTTGCTCATACCCTTTACTGGCCACCACATCACCAATTATATTAGAAGAGTTCATAAACTCAATGCAAGCATCTTTGAGCTGGCTGCAATGGTGCTGGTCGGCTAGAGCCAGCGTGGTCGCCACAGTCTCGGCACAAAGAACCTCGCACAGCTTGCTCTCGCACATCAATTTCATCCTTTCCATGGCATACCTATCTGCAGCGACAAGCAAATGCCTAAGCATTTCTTCATACTCTTCATCATTCAGGTCATCCATCGGAGGCAACGAATCCTTGTAGATGAAGTGAAGCAGTCCTCTGAAAGCAGCAGGCTGCATATCTTCAACAGTTATGTTGTGCCTTTTTTTGTCCCTCATTGGCCCGTAGAACTCTGCCCTGAAGACCGCTGAACGCATCGCGAGGATTATCTTATGAGCTGAGAAAACCGCATGCTTCACATTGAAAGATACATCAGCCCCCTCTGTGGCCTCCAGCAAGCTACTGAGATTATCAAACAGATCGGACGGCGGCACTTGGACCACAACATTCGTCTTGGCGTCCTCCACCTGCGCCTCCTTGAACTTGATCACTGTAAGATTGCACTGGATGCCAAGAATGTCGTCCACAATCCACTCTCCAAGCTCACTCTTCCTCCGGAATTTGGTAAAGCCCCAGCTCACGGCTGCATTGTCACGGGTGTCAAAAATCGACGGGTCTACCTGGCTAGGGTTTGGCCGGGCATAAGGCCGCGGCGGCGGAGCCGCTGTGGCCTGGTCGACTAGCCAGATATCGTAGAGCACCCTCACCTCCGTGTTCTCGGTCTTGAGCTCGAGGTAGGCCGACACCCAGCCATTGCTGTCTTCCCTGTCGCCGTCGGGGTAGAAGCGGACGCACCAGTCGTAGCCGCCGACGGCGAAGGTAGCGGACCGGATGAACTTGCCGACGCCGAAGCCCCTGTGCAGGCTGTACCCGTCGATCTTGAAGACGTGCGACCCGTGCGCAGTCTCCGGGGCGCAGGTCGAGGCGGTCCTCGTCAGTGAGCTCTCGGACGCGGCCATCGCTGGCCTCTGGTGGGGCAGCAACTAAGCGCGGCGGCGGCGGCGGCGGCGGCGGCGCGCGGTTATGGGAGCCGCGTGCAAGGGGAACTGCGACGGGGCGATATGAGAGGTGGCACGGCGCGGGGAACGGCGGCAAGCGGTGGCGAACAGTGAGCGGCGGCGAGATGGGGAATTTTTTGTTTGTTCGAGAAACGGCGAGATGGGGAAATTTTTTGGGGCTGGGGATGGCCGCCAGCGCCCGCTGTGTCGTTTGCATGTGCTGGCCCAGCAACGCTCGCTGGCTGCCCTCCTCCGCTCGATCGCTGGCTCCCCCTGGCCAAACGGACCGGGCCAAACAGGCCAGCCCGCGAGCACGCCGCACGGCCCGCCATGGGCCAGGCACGGCACGGGCTAAACGGGCCGTGCCCGGCACGCGGCACGCCTTGGGCCGTGCCTGGGCCTGGAGCCTGGGCATGCGGGCCGGCATGGCACGGCCCGTTTAATTTTTTATATATTTTTTTTAGAATTTTTTTATAGATGTATACCTAAAATATAGCCCAATAGGCCGAAAAACCAGCCCAACAGGCTGAAAATGTGCAGCCCAGCATGCTAAACGGGCCATCTGGCCGGCCCGTTTACTAATCAGGTCGTGCCTGGGCCAAGGAGCAGTGCCCGTGGGCCGGCATGGCACGGCCCGGCTATTAAACATGCCACAGCAGGCCGGCCGGGCCAGGCACGATTAGCACATGTCGGGTCGTGTCGTGTCGGGCTGGTCCGTTTGGCTAGGTCTGCCCTCGATCACTTTTTTTTCTTCATTCTAAAAAATGCTATAGTATGGACTGTTTTTCTTAGAAAAAACCGGTTGCTATAGTATGTACTCTTGTTCTTAAAAGAAAAGTTCATCAAATTTGAAAAAAAAACATTGAATTTGAAAATAGTTCGGCGAATTTGAAAAAATGCATCGAATTTGAAAAACTTTCATCAAATTTGAAAAAAGGTTCATCAAATTTGAAAAACTGTTCATCAAATTTGAAAAGGGGTCATCAAATTTGAAAAAAGTTCATTGAATTCGAAAAAAAAAGTCATCGAATTTGTCAAAAAAATCATCAAATTTGTCAAAAAGTTCATCAAATTTAAGAAAAAGGTCATCGATTTTGCATAAAAAATCATGAAGAAAACAAGTTTCATGAATTTGAAAAGAAATAAAAAAATGAAAGAAAAAAGGAAAGGAAGAAGAAGATAAGACAAAAAACATGTATGTAACCAAACCAAGTGAAGTGGTTGAGTGGTTGTCGCGCCTTACTCTAAACTCATTGCCACGGGTTCGTAACCCAGATTTCACGCACTTTTTGCAGTCTAGAAAAGAGAAAATTAGTCAAAATTGGGCCGGCCCAACGTGACAAGGGGCGTATGCGCCCATTATTAGAAGGACCTCTAGTGGGCGCTAAAGGCGCCGAATAGGACATGGCTTTTTTTAGGATAAATCTATGCTTTATTGATGATAGTCCACATGGTGTGGGATACAAAACGGATCATGAGGGTTGCCCAACCAAATGTGGCGCCCCAGACCGAGAGTAGGCTTAACTAAACTATGGGGTTCACCATTAACGACACGCCCTTCAAAAATGAAATTACAATTAAAACTCGAATCACGAAACTTTATTTCCGTAATGACCAAACCATAGCACCTCTGGCTACTCTTCTTTATATCGCCACTTGTTTGCAAGCAGATGCATAATGAAGTTGGGGATTAGGAGATCATCCGTCAAAGCTAGAGCTTCCCTGCATGCTATCGCCTCTAGCGTAGCAGGATCAGTTAGGCCATCAATAACCAGCGCTGAACTGGAGATTGAGTTTGTTTGGTTCCCTAAAGACCTAATTGTTATTTCCTTGTTTTCTAAGATGTCATGTATCATTGGAAGATTCCATGTCCTTATTGAAAAAAAGAGATACAATGAAATGCAAGAATAATACACACCTTTTTTTTGGGATACACCTTGAATGAAAACAGTACACACTTAAGGTGGATAAGAAGAGTTCAATTAGAACAATACTAGTAAGAGACATGAAAATGTGAAAAGAAATTACAACAATACATATGAGATACAAGACAACAAGAAGGTGGAAAGTTGAGCAGTGTATCAAGGTTCGAAGAGCTCGCCAGAAGCGCTCAATTGTGCAAAAATTATCGCATTTTTGCAAGAATAAAAAGGAAGAACTGTCCTGGTTAATAATTTTTATCCAATGTGAGAGAAAAATGTCACATACAAAATTCATCGCCCGCTACCTCAACTGAAATAGGTTGTGCGTGTACGTATTTATAAAAATGAATGTACGTACGTGTATAAGCATCTGCGCTCACTGACGAAAGACCCAATGGCCAAGGAAGCTTTTGAGGGGCCCTGTATCGAGGGCCCGGGGCAGCCGTCCCCTCTAGCCCGGCCCTCCCCAGGCCCTGTTTCAGAATGGATAAAAAATATATAGACGAAGGCAATTTGCTTTCGACTTGGAAGGAAGGGTGAGCAATGGTGCATCATCGATTGATCTCCTCTGCAAACCAACCGCGACTAGATTTGTGTTATGCTAAATAAATTAATCGACAAAATTAAGCACGTACGTACGCGCAACGGTGGACCGCGCGCGTGGTATGATCGCAAATGGCGATGCAATGATCTCCAAATCATGCGCGCGGCCGGGGCGATCCCCAAACCACGCACGGCGGCCTGGCCTGCTGCTGGTGGAGCGGTGCATGCACGCGCACGTGGCCCTTACGCACGGACGCACCTGCATGCATGCCGAGTGCCGAGACCGGTCCAAGGTTTGTTTTTTTGGCTCCGGCCACGGCCGACCCGCAAGAAGAGGTCAAGAGCCCGGCCGGCGGCGGCCGGAACCAAGTGCCCGGACAAGACAACAGTACGCGGCCAACCCGACCCGCGGCGCTCTCCGGCCGGGGCCGGCCATCTTTGTCCTCTCGGCGACTCGTTCCGGCCGGCGTCACCATGCACGTAGGAAGAAGGAGGACGCTGGACGCGTAAACATCCATTCAAGGAACTTGCAAGTACAATGCCACTTTAATTACTGCTCGTCTCGCCTATAGCTTGGATTCGCAAAGTACGGTGGTTACTTGGTTCGTTGGCGTAGGAGCACACGACCCACGAGAGAAAAATGAATAAATAAATAAGAAGCTTGGCGGTCCGGTCCATTTGCGGTGGGCGTCCATGCATTGCATGGGTTGTTTGGTTTCTGGCAGGCGGGGCCTCCCGACAGTTCTGGTGCGGAATTGATTCCCTTGGGGTGGGCGCAGCGCGCAGAGGAGAAGCAGGGGTGATTGGATTGGATTGGATGCTGGCCCCGGAGATACGGCCGCGTGATCATCATAATGCGGGCGGATGGGGCATTCCTCTCCTGCCCACGGCTCCTCTCCTGCCTTGTTTTCTTTTGTTAAAATGTAGTATTCCCCTTAATTCAAACTACTCAGGGCTCCTTTGATTCAAAGGAATCCCATAGGATTTTTGGAGGATTAGAATTCTTAAGATTTTTTCCTACATTGGTCGTTTGATTCATAGGATTGAATCCTATAAGAATTTTTCCTATGGAATTATGTGTACTACATTTCATTGGAAATCTAGAATCCACTCTAACCTCTTTTCTCTTTTTTTTTTGTTTTTCCTGTGACATCAAACACTCTGTGCTAATCCTATGAGATTCAAGTGGGCATGCCATTCCAATCCTTTATTTCTCCTATTCCCGCGTTTTGAGAATCTAACGAATCGAAGAGGGCATCAACCTTTGTATAGTGATTTAGCTTGTATAGAGGCCGCGTTATTAATTCAGATCAAAGGGAATGATATTTTTTTCCTTTGGATGTGGCTAGGTCTCAGTCGACTGAGATTTAACCAAGTCTCAGACAGGTGACATAACATGTAAAAAAATAAAAAGATAAAACAGAAAAAAATATACACATATCTTACGATAAGATCTCACGGGTGTAGCATCGACTAAGACTTAACAAAGTCTCAGCCGACTGAGACTTAGCAAGCCTGTTTTTCTTCTTCGGCTTGAATCTTAATGTTTTGCATACTCAAACCAAGTCGAAGTTACTACTAAGAGCATCTCCAACGCTGACCCGCAAATCGCCCGCAACTATCCGGACAGCGCGGTCCGGATGTGTTGTGCCATCCAAGATGGTTCTGCATCGGTCCGCAGGGTGGTCCAGACACACTTTCTCCCGCAAACCATAGACAAACTAGGGGGCTTTGCGGGTGTTCGGACAACAGCCACACCCGCTTTTAACCACCCTAGTCCGCCCATAACCCTCTTCCCTCACCTGCGCGCGTTCCCAACCGGCGCCAGCTACCCGCATTCATGCCGATGTAGAATGCCACTCCATATTGAAGTCGACCCAGAGCGGAAGCGACCTCACACTGGCTCCGCCATTGAAGCGGCGCGCCGGCCAAGGGTGCCGCCCGTCGCACGCCAGGATGAACACGCCTCCTTGCCACATTCAAATGACTCCATTAAACCCGCACGTGTGCCGAGAAACCTACTCTGACCACACATCCGTTCACGAGCAGGTCAACATTAAACACAACGTCGGGCAAGCTCCTCCCGTCAGCCGGCCATTTAAACGAGGCTAGACACCGGGCAAGAATCGCACCACAACTCTGCTCCCCATCTCCTAGTTGCACCATTTTCTCTACACTGGCCATGGCATCCAGCGAGTAGGAAGAGCAGTTCTCCGGACGATGTGTGGTTGAGCAACTTGCCGCTCCAAGCCAGCTCGCGGAGGAGTGGCGAGTTGCTCGAGGCAAGCACGCTGGGGAGCACAGTGGAACGGGCATCACAGCTGCCATGGACGAGGCCAAATGTCGTGCCATCTGCCTCAATGTTGGCGGAACCGCACCCGGGCGATGGACAAAGTAGCCGGCTATGCGGCGATCGATGAGTCGGTGACCAGCGCGCCCTGTTCAAGAATTCATCCAATTAACCAGTTAACTTGCCGATTAATCCCTACTCGTAAG